CGTTCTGCTGGTCCTGCTACTCCTGTTCCTGCCGCTCTGCCGCTCCTGCTGCTGCTGCTGCTCCTCCTCCCCCTTGCTTTGAGTTCAGGCTTACTGTCGCTGCTTCTGTTGTTGGTTCATTGTTGACAGGTGACCCGAAGGCCTAGGCTTATGGGTCAATCCAGTGCCCAGCTGAGTTTGAAGGTGACAGCTCGAAGCTGCCTCCGCATGAGCTATAGTCTAAACTCATCAAAGAGGGTGTTTATATAGGGGAACACTGTAGGGCTCTTCAAGGGGGATAGTCGGAGATTGGACTATAGCTCACATGTTTCGCACTGCATGAAGGGGCTACGCTTAGATGAGCAGAGTGAGGCACGACGCTCGTTGGCTGCGTTTAGGCTCCGGTAGTTGCAAACATTGGGCCAACGTAACTCCAACTGCCTCAGAAGTTTGAGCCTGCCTTGGAAGTGTGAGCCTTAGAATTCAGACCAAGAGTCTGAAATGCCCGTGCCACAAAAAGTGTGGTCTTCTTCCAGTGATCTTCCTGTGGGCTGAGGTTCCTTACACATGGGAGGAGAAGGCGGATTTGGGAAAGGAGGCTTTGGAGACAAAGGGAAGGGCAAGGGCAAGAAGGGCAAGGGTAAGGGTAAGGGCAAGGGCAAGCAGGAGGAGAAGCAATGGGTTCCGATGACAAAGTTGGGACGCCTGGTTAACGACGGCAAGATCAGCGTGCTTGAGGACATCTACCTGCACTCCCTGCCGATCAAGGAGCCCGAGATCATCGACCACTTCTACCCTCCTGGAAGCTTGAAGGATGAAGTGCTGAAGATCCACCCGGTGCAGAAGATGACCTCCGCCGGTCAGACCAACAGATTTGTGTGCTACGTGCTGGTGGGCGACACCAACGGCCACATCGGTCTGGGGTCCAAGTGCGCGAAGGAGGTGGCCACCGCCATCCGGGGCGGCATCATTGCTGCAAAGCTGAACCTGATCCCCGTCCGACGAGGTTTCTGGGGGAACAGAATCGGCTTGCCCCACACTGTGCCCATGAAAGTGCACGGAAAGTGCGGCTCAGTGCGAGCGCGCCTGATCCCTGCCCCTCGAGGCTCCGGCATTGTAGGCTCCCCAGTGATGAAGAAGATGATGGCTTTCGCCGGCATCTCTGATTGCTTCACCTGCTCCTGCGGGCACACTAGGACAACAGCGAACTTTGCCAAAGCCACGTTTGAGGCTCTGAAGGCGACCTACGGGTACCTGACCCCGGACCTGTGGACAGCCACTCGCTTCACGAACTCACCCTTCCAGGAGTTCACGGACTACCTGGCCCAGTCCAAGAAGGCGGTGAGCTACTGAGCCGCCTTTTCAGATTCGCAAGGCAGCTGGCATGTCAAGATGGAGGCATCGGGGACGGACTGACTGAAAAGTGCCAACTCAGGCTCAGTCCTTTCCCATGACGATGTGTGGCATGCTCCCGCAATGAATTCATGATAGTACCCATGACGAAGAGCCCTAATTCCTACTTGTACTAGAGGAGGGGACATTTCAGTATTTGTGAGTGTTTGGGCCACAAGCAGGGATTCTTTGCACTTGCGGGTTTGGGGACTGTTTAGCTGTTTGGCAACATTGGATTCATACTCGCAGCAGCCAACGGCCCAAGTGCTGGCAGTGGGTTGGGCTTGGCAATCCAAGAGCAGGCCAGTCGTGAAGGGATAGCAGTGGGATGAATCGCATGCTTCAGGAGTTCTATCATTGAAGGAAGGTTTTGACATTTCCCACCCCCAAGTTAGGACCTTATGATAAGCCTTATGATGAGGTCCTACGTTTGGGGTAAAATTGCCAGGTCCTCTTTCAAATGGGGAATCTGGAGGTTCAAGCTACAGTTTCATGGGGTCTTGGGATCAAATTTTTCAGCAAAGGAGACCATCGACGATCATTGGTACAGCAAGATTGCATTAAGGTCATCTGAGATGCATCAGAAGTCAGCAAGCACAGCGTCTTTTCGAGATGCTTTGAGGGGCCAGCTGTCTTGTATCTGGTACATGTGAGCTATAGTTTGAAGTATTCAAAAGGCTTAGAGGCGTGCTATTTCTTGCAGGTCTCGAAACAGATTGGTGCCGAGGTCCTCCAATCTTTTAAACTACAGAAGTCCTCATATTTGAGGTGTTGCAAGATTGCTCCCATGAAGGGTGGGTGGGTTTTCCAATGAAGACATGAACGCATCTCCCTTCATTTCCAACTCGTTTGCCTGAACGCTCTCTTAAAAGCAGCATACCATTAAGCATGGCGCTCACTGTCAAGGTGTGCTAGGTCAAAGGGTAACTAGAAGTGCTCTTGCTTCAAGGAAAGCTTATCGGGGCCTTTTTCAAAGTAGACCCTCGCATGGACGTACATTTCTCCAAGCCCTTAGGTGATCAGTATGAAGCAAGCAAGAACCTGCCTGCGCAGGTTTACTCAATCCAGATATCCATGCAAAGGCCAGCTGGCTTGGTCTGGATGTCATGATGAATGTGAATTATAGTATATTAGGGGTTATATAGGGGTAATGGAAAAGAAAATGGAGACTACTTTAGTATAATATTGTAGGTTTGAGAGGGACTCTATGCAGCAATGTCAGCTTCAGAAGCCTAAGAGGCCTTCAGATCCAAATTACATCCACCAACAATGTATGTGTTAGGAGGACCCCACCCTGTAATAGTGGTATAATCGCAATATGATAGAACCCCAACATACGCCCTATTACCCCTTATAGTCACTATTACAGGGTGGGGGGTCCACCTGTTGTATGTGTGTGTTTTCTGGGTGCCTGTTAAGGAACTTCAGCTACCATAGTGAGGGAACCACAGTGTTTGTTACATGAGCTATAGTCTAAACTCCTGGTATCCCCCTTAATACCCCCGAAAGTACTCCCCAAAATAATCCCCAAAATAATTCCCCTTGAAGGAGTGTAGACCCCGAAGCCAAAACGCTATATATCCCCCTTCATTGGCGACGCATTACATGCGCTACTACAGTTCTAGAGGCTTTGGTCTTGGGATGTCTTGGGGCTTCGTCTTGGAATGCACGCTACTCTTTGCACTGCTTGCTTGCTTGCTTGCTTGCTTGCTTGCTTGCTTGCTTGCTTGCTGTAAATGCGCGAGCCAGGTCACGCAGCATCTCATGCTGAGGCGGGCTGGCAGTTGTCATCAGCATTTTGTCAGCATGGGCAGTGTTAGCTTCCTAAGCCAGCTTGCCAAGTTTTAGGTTAAGTCTTGTACCCGGGACATGTTACGGAGTGTTATGGGTCCTGAAGCCGTGGGTGGCAAGCACGCCGCCTGTTGCCCCAAATTAGTTTCTCCCTAATTCCAAAATCGCGTTCTTAAAGCTCCGTGCGTTCCCGTTCAGATTCAGGGGTTGGCTGTCGGGCTCTCTCCTCCCCGAAGGGCAAACACAACCAAGCTGTTTAGGCTGTTGCTCGCTTTTGAGTGCTCTTGAAGGAGGGTTTCTCCAGCATTGGGAGTAGCTCCTTGGAGCTTCCCAGAACAAGGACTACTGGTATTTAAGGGTTTATACTGTAGACTCTTCTATAATGATTGGGGTCCCCCTATTTGTGGAAACTACCGAATCCCTTTCAGACAGGCTTGGGGTAAGCTGGATGCCCAAAGTTCATTTGGAGAAGCCGCAGTTTAATTGGGGTTAATATGACCGTTTAAGAGCTTGTATCATAAACCCTAAACCCTAAATTCCTAAACCCTAAATCCCTAAACCCTAAATCCCTAAACCCTAAACCCTAAACCCTAATGTAGTTCTGTTAAGACCGATCCCTGGATCAGCCTCCTGCACCTTGTGCTAACTCCCTAAACCCCAAGTGGGAGTTTCCCAAAATTAGGGGTACCAGTTTGGGAGTCCCAATAATAAGGACTATAGTATTTTGGGGTCTATATTGGGGTCCCCCGATTTTGGGAAACTACCAAGTCGTAAAGTCCTAAACGCTTGACTCTGTACCCTATGCCCATAGGTGTCGAACCCATAAACCCGACCTGAGCCCTTACACAGTACAACCCAAAACCCTGTTAACTTTCAGAGCCCAAAACCCTGTCAACTTTCAGAGCCCCTCTTGCCGAACAAGCCATTCACGCTTTCCCCCAATCTGAAACATGAATATGCACTTAGCCCGACTTTTGCTCACCCTTAGGCTTGCCAGTAGGTCCCTGCTTGCTGCTTCTGGTTCGGTTTAGGGTCCAGGGTTTGGGGTTTACGGATGGGAGGCATGAATCCCTCAAGTGGCCCCTGTAGTAACGACCAGCAAGTTGACCCACTTTAGGGTTTAGGGTTGAAGGTTTAGGGTTTAGGGGGTTTGCTTTTCCAAATTGACTTTCCATCACCTTCTCCCTAAGCACTTAACCCTGTATTATATAACCCGTTTAAGGGGACCCTATATATCCTTATGCGACCCTGTATAAAGGAAGCCCTGTCCGCGATGATTAAACATAGAAGCCACATGCTCCACAGAAGCTTCTTTTTCCCATTCCTTGCATATATCCAAAAATATGACCTCCATATATCCCCTATACAATCCCTTTACAGGTAGATTTCATGTTCTTTCCCATTCCCTAAACCCTAAGCCCTACAACCCTTAATCCTAAGCCCTCAGCCCGAAACAGCAGCTTCCGTTTTGTTTCCATTCCCTACTAACGACATCTAACAACCAGCAAGCCCTGAAGGCGATGTGCTCCTCTAGTTTCCACATCATGTTTTATTTGCGTCTCCATCTGTGTCTCCAGTATTGTGATGATGTTCCGCATCCCTTAATCCAAGATACTCATGTAAACCCTCATTACCTCTAGATAAACCCTGTGTTAACTTCATATTCCGCAAGGCGATGTGCTCCTCAGCCTCATCGTGATGCAGAGCAAAGGGAGCGAGGCTTAGCCGTCCAGGCACGCAGCTAGGGGGGGTTTGAGGGGTTTGAGGATTTGGGGGTTCGGGTTTAGCGTTTGGCGAACTCTCGCAGATAACGTGCGAGGTTTGTGGTCCTTGTGACGGGAAACCTCAAGCAGGAGCCCGCTATGTCAGGAAGCGCCCTTTTTTCAGCGGCGTAGTGGAATGCCAAGAGGCCGTAATGTTTGATTCGCAAGTTTGCCATACATTGTAAAAACGATGGACTCTCGCCCGGTGCAACTGTAAACAACCTCCCTCAACACAGACATCATTTTTGTGCTATGCGGAAAGCGTTTACCAACAGCGAGTGTGGTGTTTCTTGGGATTGACTTCTAGAAAAACTGCCGTAGTCGCCTGAGCCCCTGAATCCTAAACCTTCAACCTTATATAACCCATATAACCCCATGATAGCAGTTTCCATATATATATATATATCCCCAACATTACTCCAAACCTTGAACGTCGTTGGGCGACAACAGAAGGCATCACTGGCTTCTGAAAGTTGATGAGTCAGGGCACAAAAGCCAAATTGCCCTAGGTCTTGCTTCCATCTCTTCTTTGCACCCTGCATACAGGGGTTACAGGGGATTTATAGGGGTTTATAGGGTTTAGAAGTTTAGGGTTTAGGGATATTATAGAGCTATAATAGAGCTTAGGCTCAGAAAATTTGAGAATACAAGACTGCAAACGGCATACAGTGCGTAGTTTACATGTTTTCTATCTTCGCACGGGTCAAAAAGAAGAGCCCAAACTCATCCATGAATTGTGTTTCCAACTGGGAGTTCCCGAGAAATAATACTACGGCCCACTGTACACGAACCCCCCCCACAGGGCTTAACCACCCACTTGCTGCAGGCTCATGGTGTTGCTGCCGGGTACCTCAGGCGCTCGGCCCATGGATGATATGGGTGGTTGTCAAAAATTATGNNCCTTTTTGGGTCCCTATTATATTACGGCACCTAATATTTTGGGTACCCAAAAAGGGACCATAATTTTGACAACCACCCATATGCCAGCTTCTTGCCGTCTGCCACGCAGGAGTATTCCTGTAATTGTCCAATGCTAGGAGGGATTATGCAGAGTAGTGTCCCTGTAAGAAGTGCCCATATTCGGTTCCATGTTGGGGGAGGGTATTCACCTGAAACCGCTAAACTTAAACGTAAACCCCAAACCCAAAGCCCCTAAACCCATAAACCCTAAAACCTTTAACCCTAAACCCCTAAGCCCTAGACCGCCAAACCTCTGAACCCTAAAACCCAAACCTCAACCCTTGCGAGACCTGCCCTGTTCCTCCTGGCGCTGGGTGCAGCGGACGCAGTCGAACGGCGCGCTCCCCAGTTAGGGGTTTCCCAAAACTAGAAGGGTATTGAAGTGCACTCAAATGCAGTCTTATGTCATCTGAAACCACAAAAGGTGTTTGCCTTCCACATGCCCCGCTCGAGCTTCGGAGGATCACATGAGAGCCGGTGCAACGGACATGCTAACTGCCAATAAGAGCCCAATCATTCCGTGTGGACCAGTCTAAGCAATCTGGCGTCCCATCTTAGGCTTGAAATAAGAGGATCCATAGGGAGGGGAAAAATGATTCATGCAAGTTCCCCAGAAGTGTCGTGCAAGCTTGGGTCTGTTTGGCATGCGAGTAGCCCTGCAGAACATCTGAGCCTGCAATGGCAATCTTAGGAGAGGTGTTCCGGGAAGCCCAACTATTGATTGGGATCCCAAACCTATCGCTTCAAATAATACATTCTGCGAGAGCAGATTAGTATAGTCTTGCTGGGCATGGTGAAAGATGCAAAGCTCTGGGATCAGATCCGAGCGCAGTATGCCAAGCTGCAGGAAGATGAGGCCGGCGCAGAGCTCTTCCCATCTCCAATTGCTACCAGTGAGCCCAGCCCATCTGTAAGCACAGCAGCGAGCCCGGTGGGGGCCCCTGTTCCGGGAGATGTCGGGATGAAGAAGTCACGGTTCTACGAGGATGGACTGCAGAGCAGGCACTGGGTGCTTGCCTGCTGCTCGATGATGGTGATGTGCGAGTGGCTGGACCGCACCGTGCTGTCGATCTCCATGCAGTCTATGAAGGAGGACTTTGGGCTCACAGACTCCCAGGTAGGGATCCTGGCGTCCGCATCTTTGTGGGTCGTGCCCCTGGCCACTGGGCCTGTGGGCCGCCTGTCCGATCACGTTCCAAGAGCGAGGCTCATAGGTGCAGGGGTCTTTGGCTGGGCCGCTACAACCTTTGCTACGGGGAGCTCCAGATCCTTTGAGGTGACATTGTTCTGCAGGCTGCTGGCGGGTGTGGCCAACTGTGCTGGGTATCCTGTGACGCTGGCCCTGCTTTCTGACCATTTCGCAGCTGAAGAGATGGCCACAGCCATGGGCTACTATCACGCTGGAAGTGCCTTTGGTGGCCTCCTTGGCTTTGCTGCTGGAGGCGCCCTGGTCACATCAAAGGGCTGGAGATGGGCCTTCTGGGGCGTTGCCTCTCCGCAAGTTATCGTTGCCCTCTTCTTCTGCTTCACTGTGCCGCAGACTGCGGAGGAGGTGCCTCCTACAGAGGGTGTCCTCTCTGATGTGCGGGAGCTGCTTGGCCTACGCCCTCTAAGGCTGCTCATGCTGGGTGCCATGTCTACCGGGTTGCTATCGGGTCAAGGGCGATTCTTGTCCTCCTTTGTTGAGCGACGGCACGGTGTGGAGCCAGCTCAGATTGGCTTGGTCATGGGCCCTGTGCTGGGCGTCACTGGGGTTGTCAGTGCTTTCGTTGTAGGCCACCTCGTTGACCGCGCCTTTCGCTGGAAGGGGGATCTTAGGGTCAACCTTTGGTGTGCATCATTTGGAGATACAATTGGGGTGCTTTGTGGGATGTCTGCCATTATGGCGCCATCTTTCGAGCTTCTAACGCTCTTCACAGCTTTAGGTGTAGTGGTTGGCTGCCTGAGGCAGGGTGTGCAGACAGTTGTTCAGAGATTGGGTACTGGCAGGCGAGGAACTGTCCAAGGTATGCTGGAGATGTGTTGGTCTGTTGGTATGGGCATCGGCCCCTTCCTCGCCGGGGCTATCAGCGACTTCAATCTGAGCCCAGGTTGTGATGACGCTTGCGCACTCTCCTGGTCACTGCTTCTGTTTGGCAGCTGTAGCCTCCTGATGCGTGCTGCATGCAACTTCGCTGCATCCATGTACCTCTCCGACATACAGACTCAGACCGAAGGTCGGGCTGTTGCTGCATCATCCGCTCCCCCACAAGTGGTCGGCAGGACATGTCACTAGAGCAGGAAAACAAGAATGGCTCATGCAGCCTTGCTACAGGGCTCGCGGCCAGTCGTATGTTTCGGTGGTGACTGTATGTTTGGCGAGAGATGAGCCCGAAGAAATACCACACAACAACCGACGCATTGCTTCATTCATCATCCCCGTCACGCACCCAAAACATGGAGCCAAATGCGCCAGCACCTCCAACAATTTCTGTAATTGTATGCCTGGATGAGGTATTTCTAAGCATCAGGTGTTCTCGGCCACGTAACTCAATATACCCCCAAAAATGCCAAGACATTCTGATTATCGGCACGGACGCGTGTAAAGACACCCTTATATTTGACCCTGCAGTTCTGGAACCCGCAGATCCGGATGAAGGGACACTGCACAAACTATCAACCCTGAAGCCATATCTCCGAACCCATCCTACAACCTTCAATTAGACTCCAAACCTAGCTCCAACTCATAGAAACTTGCAGGTTGCATTACTTTTGTGCATCCAACCTCGCCCCCCGCCTGTTCCCCCAAACTATAGTAGTTTGACTTCCCATCCTCTTGAACTTCCTTAAACTATCTTAAACTGTTTCCGCCATGTGGCGCAGGAACCCGAGACTCATGCGCAAGGACCCTCAGGCAGGAATTCCCCAAACCTGGGTTGGAATATGTCAGCAGTCAGTGAAACGGTGCGCTGTATCTTGGGGACTCGTTTATTTGTGTCCTATCGTTGACACTCAAAAACGCACTCTCCACAAGGACACCCAGAGCTGCCACACAATTTCTCCAAATCAGCGCCCCCAGTTGGTCGCTCCCGAACAAGGGGTGCATAGAACTGCGACATGAAGGATGTTGAGGGCACTTGGTCCCTGCGCAGGTTGACGAAGGATGGGCCCTACTGCTGCAGGCGGACAAAAGCTGTGGCATCATAGAGTCGACGTTCTGATCTGTGGATCTACTTGAGACTGCTACGGGAAGGGCACATCATGGCTAACTCAGGTGTGTTTCCATTGTTGAAAGCAGTGTAGATTTTTGACCGTCTCGCTCATGTGCTGCCTCGCACAAGCATGAGGTCGCTCGTCTTGCTTCAAATGCTCGTGAAATTGTGAAACTCCGGAAAAATGCGGGTGCAGCTTCTTCGCGGTGCAGGTCTCAGCCGACGGCAGCCTTGTCCAGCAGAAGCAGATGCCGACGGTGCGCTCGTCCAAAGTTCTGGGTTTGCACGGTCCCGCAACAAACCATGGTGGCCCTTCTCAGTCGCAAAGATTTCTTGAGGGTGTTGTGAAGTGGAACGAGGAAGGCAAACTGATCCTATTAAAGCTTTGGAAGGATGTGGTGCAGCGTATGCAACTTAAGCATGTGTTTCATGTTTCAGTGTGCTGACAAAAGAACAGAATATTATGCTGACGACACCATGTTTGGAGGGTTGTCATTATGAGACTACAGACCCCCATGTTGGTTCCCCTTTCGGGGAAGGCTAATGATGTAAGCGAAGCCTGAGCCCTAAACTCTTCAACCCAAACATATCTACCTCAAGTTTCCTCCCGGAACATCGCCCTCTGGGCTTGGAAGGCACGCAGTGCTCCCATACTGAGATCTTGCTGTTTGGAGGGGCCCGAAGGGTCAACAGGCTGATCGAAAAGTCCGTTATCCTCCCTAAACCAAAAAGTCCTCAATCCTTCAAATACTAGACCCTAAGGCCCCTAAAGCCCCTAAAAACCCTGAAGGCCCTAAACCCAAAACATTCCAACATTTCTTTAGCAAAGCTGGTTTTCCTTCGAGGTCATGACCCCTGCTACTGGGATGGGTGGTATGTCCACGGGCATGGGAGGCATGTCCATGGGACAGGGCAACGTTCCCTTTACGATGGCTATGCCCCTTGGCAGCCTTCGTGTTGTAGGGGCCAAAGTAGTATTAGTTTGAAAGGGTGAGGAGTGGAGGGCCACCCCATGTTACAAGCACCGTGTGAAGAGATGGCATGAGCAATGATTCAGGCATTTTCAGGGTGTCTTATCTCTTGGTACTCGCGGACCCCGGATTGCAACGCCGTTTTTCATGCAGCAGTCCAAAGACCAACCCAGGTCTGGTGATGACGATGAAGAGAAGGAAAAGGAGGCCTCCACTACGACGGCAGCGGCGACGACTGCCGCTGCCACCACAGCAGCTGCTACGACTGCGGCTGCAACGACAGCCGCAGCCACGACTGCAGCTGCCACTACAGTGCCCGCAACAAGCACTACTGAGTCGGAGGAGAAGGGGAAAGACGGAGAAGGAAAGAATGCCAGCGCAGGCAACGAAACTCCCATTGTGCCAGGGGCTCAGAGGTTCAGACGCGTCTCAGTTTTGCCAGCGCTAAATTTCGGATATGAACAAGCAATCACAGCTTGCTGACACGCATGCGAACTCCTAATTTCTTGTGCAAGCACAGAATGTCCTGAAACAGTCATTTTTTTTTGCACATGTTGTATACATATTGGCTCTGGCCAGGCACCCTCGCCTACACCCGCACCTTGCAGTGAAACCACATGCTGCTTCCAAACCCTAAGCCGAAGGGCGAACGAAGCCCTCCAAGTGCCAGAACAAGCATCTCACTTGTAGCAGCAAGATCCCAGGACCTACGCCCGGAAAAACAAGTTGCTGCAGCTTGCTAGTGCTAAGCATGGATCCTCGTAGTACTGCTTGCGTAAGCCCGGCTCAGGGCTTAAAGGCTTCGGGTGTCAAGAAATACCCTGAATGGTACTAGGATCCCTCATATGATTTAAGCTATATTCATTCCTCATATAATCCCGATATAAATCCGTGTAACCCCTATATAACCACCATATAATCCCTATATAACCCGTATATATCCATTCTCCAGGGTCGTCTCTGCCGCCGCACCGCCCGCCGGAACCCCGGCAAATCCTCTTGTGAGTCTGGCGTGCAATTTCATGTGAGCTACTGTCAACATTTTTGCTGCTAATTAGGTCAGGGTTTGGGATCATAGGGTTTTGGTTTTAGGATGTTTTAGGGCTAGGCTTTTGAAGCTTTTGACCATGGCTAAACTACCTTCGCAGTACATCCTAAGCTTGATTTGTGGCACCCTGGCTTCAAAGAGAATTTGAGCATCATCGCCCTGGAGCCCTAAAACACCCCAGAACCCCAAAAATCCTCAAGTTAAGGTTTAGGGTTTGGGGTTTAGGGTTTAGGGTTTAGGGTAAAATCCTAACCCTAAAATCCTAAATCTTGAGAACCGCCATTTTGAGTGAGGCCGGTGAAGCCGCCAAAGAGGGGTCAGCTGCAGCCCAGGCTTTTGACCTTCTGGCGCAGTTGAGGGTCGCTTTAGGGTTAAGGCCACTGTTTTTTGTCTTTGGGGATATGACCTCAATATTGGTGGAAAAGTAAATGGAAAAGTACATGGAAACTGGGGTTATAGCCTCCTATCTGGAACCGCAAAAGTCAAAGGCTCCAGGACGGATAGTTCTCAGATTTATCGCTGCATTTTTACGTACTCAATCCGTACTTTGGTCCCCCAAAGGGGGGAGGCACTTTGAGAAGGTTTAGGGTTTAGGGTTCTAAACCTCAATCCCTGCATACATCCTCACAGCCTCCATATCCAAGGCAATTACAGGAAGGGAGTTACCATGTAGGGACCTTACAGATGCCTTATATACCCATCATATAACTCCCCATCGTCCCTATATACCCCTTACCTACCCTTTAAATAAGATCCCTCGTGCAGTCGGCCCCTAAAACCCTAAACCCGCGGCGAGGCTGGGGAGAAGAGCAGTGGAGGGGGGCTTTCCTGGCTGCTTCTGCCAGCCAGGGCCACAGGAGACCCAGAAACCCAATACCCCTTAAATTAGGAATATATAGGGAATATATAGGGATTATAAAGTACCGTTTAGGGTATATTCTTCATTCAAGGGGTATTGGGCTCTCTTGAGACTTTTCCTGATCCGTGGGTCTCTTTTCTGGCGTCACATGCTCACATGCAACTTGTCTGACATGTCTTATATTCTTTTTTTTTTCAGGGTTTGGGCTGTGGCAATTTGGTTACACTATTCTGGGGATAGCTGTTCCATGGATTGTTTGTGCATACCGTTGAAAGTCTTAGACGCTAAGGCTTCATAAATGCCTCACATCCCTATATAAAACCCATATAGTCCCTATATAAGCCCCATATAATAACCTCTATATAATCCTTACTTAATCCCTATATAAACCCCATATAAACCTCATATAATCCCTATATAGTTTAACCTGCGTGGGGAGGCCCCGGATGACACGGGACCCTTGACATTGTTGTGTGATACTGTTGTATGGAGCACACCATCTTCGATGGAGACAGTAAAGATGTTGTCTGCCATTCGGATGGACGGTGAGACCCATGGCTGAGGGAAATTTTAACTACAATCTGCCACCAGCTGCTGGGTGGCGCTATGCACAAGTTCATGGGTAGCAGCACTGAACTTGGCCTCACGTGGGCAATAGTTAGCTTGTCCAGTGGAACGCCCTTGGCCTGGAAGACCATTTTCCCTTGGTTGGAGGTTTCAAGCCCTGAGCGATGACCAAGTCTCCAGTGTCAGGTTTCAATTTCAAGGTTTGGAGTTCGCTGCGCTTGCTGTAGTATCGTGCTCAACCTAACAAAGAGTGCAGACTGGGCGTTTCAAGAACTAGTGTCCTTCTAAGGGGTGTCAATACGCATTTCTATGCTTGCTCGGGGAGAGCAATCTTAAGTAATTTGTGCATTGAGACCTCCAACGTAATTCTGATAGAACACGTGCTTAGCACAACCCGGAACCCCACTTTGCTGCAAATTCTCGTGTTTATCACTGACTATACGCCTTCCCGCGAAGATGCAAGTTGGACGTCTCGAAATTGCGCATGCAATCCTGAATTCAATCGGGATCTGAATAATCCCTCGTAAGCACCACCTTCCTCAGAACAATCCTGGTACCATTTTAAACGGGTTCCCGTAATCAGGATTATAGTATTTTGGGGTCTATATTAGGGTCCCCATATTTTGGGAAAGTACCATA